TTTTTTTTTTTCCTTCGAATTAATGATCTTTTCCCCTTCATTTGTAATTTCGACGCCAAGTTCACTAGCGGTACATTGCAGTGACCTCTCCAGTTTTATACAAAACGGTAGAGAGGCCATGTCCTTGCTGAAGTTCGCACTTCTTGTTCCATCGAAAATGTTTTCATTTGAAAGGGGTTGGCTTCCGAAGTTTGCGCATTCTCTTTTGCACTGTAAAATTGTACGAATGAATTGAGTGAGTGCTTGCTGCGTTCGGGAGCAGGCGACCCACCATCTTTGTTTAGAGCTCACCGCTGCATTATTGCTAGAATAGTCGGCGCGATAATCTCTTGTTTTATTGCACGCTCATCGTGCATTTTGTTGTTGGTTAGCTAATGTTGATTTCGCGTGATGGAATGGTTACCACTGTTACTGGTGCTGCATTCACGCTTTTCCTTGGTGTTCATTCAGGAGATCTGATCCGACTGAAGGTGAACGAGAACGTGTACTCGGGCAGCGTTGATCCCGGTGATCAGCATATTCATTTGGTGCCAGTTAGCCAGCAGAAGCAGTAGCCGGAACAACAACCTCAGAAACACTGCGCAAATGAAAAGCTGCACTTTTGGTGGAATTGCTCGCGCTTTGAATGGCGCTGTTTTGCTGCTCGCAACAATTGAGCTGTTTTTTCAGTGTATTAGTGGCTTGTCATCTGTGTATGTATGTGCAGAATGACTGTTGGCGCCTTATTTTGCCGCATGTTCGTTCATGATTCATTGGCACTTTCTGCTGCTTGTTCCGTGTATCATTAGCACTGTCGTTATCATTGTGATCGCATTATTATTTGTCAGATTTTTTGGAGAACGGACATTGCGTTGGCCTCCGTCTATCACTTATTTCTTTTTTGTTCTTTCATTTTGGCCGTACTGCACTGCTGCTGCTGCCGCTGCCGCTGCTACTGTCGCTACTACATGACATTACGGCGGTGTCTACCGGTTTTATTATATTTCCAAACTAGTTCCCATGGCTCAGATGGAAAGCGCTGTGTCTTTTCCTTGGCTATAACTTTGAAACTTATGAAATACGTGCGGCCATATCAAGGGTTATGTACGGGATCACGCAGTAATGGAAAATGGCACTTCGAGTACCACTGAATCATTCATATCGGGCAGCATGGTAGTGGGCACCGGTTGTTCTGTTTGCGTTGCTCGGTGATAATATCCAAACGAGCAGCTGCTGCTGATTTATGGTGGTACGGCATGCAGCATCATTAGCGACTGCTCATTTCTTTGAGGTGTGACGCAGATAGATCAGTCTGACAGATAAATCAGGTCATTCAAGACTGGCGAAGTATTTTGTAAAAGCAGCACCGCGAATGAGTGCCAGATCGAAGGCGACTTGTTCTCAAGTTGTGTGATATGCTCAGCGCCCGAAGTGTGCTGCAGGATGCAGTAGAAAAACGTGGTGTGCGGAACGTTATCCGCATTGACGCAATGAGTGCCACAAAAATTTTCGTTGCGACCGCTAAAACTCACATTTCAAGAATGCGCAGCCTGTTGCAGCCAAAACGCATACACCCACACACCTAAATTAAATTAGAAATTAAAAGTTGAAGTGAACAGTGAGCGAGATGTGAAGAAGGATAAAATCCGGGCGAATTGCATACGTTTTTGAGAATGAGTTAGAAATGTGCACTTTTGGCGTCTGCATACAGGGAATCTAACTCCAAGCGAAATTTATACCACGGTTTAATATAGAATAGCTCCGTAAGATTTCAGCTTCTAAGTTTTTTACGTTACCAAAGATCGCCACCTCACCATAAATAGATTTAATTTATTATGGAGTATGGAGCTTCGAAATCCCACTTTGATGTACGAGCCGCTAGGTAGACGACAAATATTCCGACAAAATCACTGCTGTTGTTTTCCAGTTCCCGAGTTGGCACGATGTCAATTGCGAACTAATATGATCGCATGCGTGACGTTGGGGGCGCAGTAACTAGGTTTGAAGCCTTCAGGTCACAGCCGCACAAGAAGATTTCCTTGCAAAGACTTCATCTTGTCTGCTTCTTGAATTCGTTTCCGGCTGGGGAATTTGCATGTTTCTTCGCAGGCATCCATATGCCTCAAGTCCAGAAATGCTTGAATGGGCGAGTGGCGCATTTTCCTGAAATACGCCCATTTTCAGTTTCCTAGGCTTTACGTTTGCTGATGTGAAAGGGTGACGAAGCTTACTCCCGTATATATATATATATATATATATATGTATATATATATATATATATATATATATATATATA